GCCATATAGATGACGGCGCACAGAGAACACATTGCACGAGATGCTTGTGCTCTTTCGTGTGATACTATGAACGATCCTCCTGAGAAGATGCCCGTTTCAGTGTGCAAACAATTCTGACATAGAGGACTCAAAATCGGGTACATGGGTGCGAGCCTTTTGAATTCGTCGCTGTCTAAGGTGCCGAAAAAGGTCTTTGCGAAAAGATTATCGAATTGTTTTGTCCATATATCCAATGCACCAGGTATCGCGTAGGGATTTTTCGTGTTGGCTATCCCGCCGTTTTGTCGTCGCTGGTAATACAGACGTACCAGATCGCGCGATTTCTGCTGATGACTTGACATCAGAAAGTTGCTCATCGATTGCCGGGGGGACCATTCACCTCTAGGCGAAAGTTAGATGTCGACAAAGGCATCAGTAACTTGCTTGGCATCGCTGGTCCTCGCCCGTTCGGTCCGCTCATGTTGACCATCGGGTTGTACATGTAGTAGGGAATGCCGTGAGTTGTCGAGCTGATCCTTTCAATTTCCCTGCATGCATCTTTGCCCTTTGCTCTCCCTGATATAGGAGAATTGTGTCTGACATCTGGTGCAGGCGTGATGTAAATAGGTACTTCCTCGTTGTCAGCGGATGGGTGGTAGCTGTCGCTTGTGTCTTGCTCTGTCGAATCTGGCACCAGTAGCCTGTCTCTAACGAAGATCAAAAGCTTTCGTAGGGCAGCACTGTAGCATTGGTCCCCGTCTGCTAGACATGTGTCGGTCATGTGTTTCATCCACGATGCCACTACTGGATTAGTGGTACGACTTTCGCTGTCGCGCAACCAGAAAGCGTCGAATTCCTCGGGAAATGCTTGCTGGCAGAATTCGTCAAGTTCGTGAATGCCGTAGACTAACCAGATTATCCACTCCAGGATGATACAGCCCATGCCCCACATATCGTAGGACCTGGAGATCTTTCGGCCCACCTCCGGAGGCCTATATCGGAGTGTTCCACCTGGCGATGCTGAAGGCTTATTTCTTGCATGCGTTGGCAACGAGTGTATCTTGGCCAGACCCAGATCTGCGATTTGAAATATTCCACGGTGCGAACCAGAAGATCGAAGAATATTCTCTGGTTTGAGATCTCCATGTCGACCGTTTAATGCAAGCCTAGACGGATTGTTGTGCCACTGATCGAGTGCTGCAACAAGTCCTTGTATCTGTTCAATAGTCCAGCTTATGAGGTCTGCATCTCGAGACCAATTCTCCTCGTTGTTCCAGTACGACCGCAAGTTGCCTCCGTCCGCCCACTGGAATAACAAGTGGCTCGTGAAGTTCTGCCTAAAGCCGCCGACGAATCTCACGATATGTGGATGCTTCAATTGCCTCGCCAGGTCTAGCGCATCGAGTTCACTCTGATCGGCACCGGCTTCCTTGTTTCGCAGTTCCTTGATGGCAATCACGAGATTGTCCTATTGCTGTCAGCAAATCGTTAATATGCCAAGACAAATATACTGACCGAACTGACTGTTTGATGAGCACGGTGTATGGTAGCCTTGTGTAACAAGCTGAAACTGCCCCCTTCACCTTGAGATTCGCATGCGATAAAGGGCAATCGGCAGTCTCGGTGTAAGTTCTCCATCGTGCTATCGTTCCTGAAGATTTGGGGTAGAAACACCCATTGCTCTTTACAGAAGAAATGTTTCTCCTGTGTCCTCCATTTGTTAAACCACTTCCACGCGGAAGAATCTCGCGCAAAGCCGTTGAGAGAGATGAGACGTGGCCCTTCGAGAGCGATGGGAAGGTATCTGTCGCCGAATTCGAATCTTTCTAGGTTGATAGCCCTGCGGACCGCGTCTCCATAGACTAAGGTAGCAAACGTTTTTCGCGCGTGTTTCGTAATGTACTTGACAAGTGACGAATCATATTCCCCGAAAGCAGCTTTGTCTAGCTCTTCTTTGATAGTATGTTCGGTGATTAGCGATTCGAAGTCGTTCTGAGGGAGGAAATCCTTCTGGGAGAACTCGCTGTACGTGAAACGGTCGACAATTGCATCGTACAGCCCACATTCCTGGTTTCGGCCCATGTCGTCATCGGAAAGCTGTTACAATACGGTATCAGTAGGCTTCGTCTTGTAACCGTAGATTTTCACCTGAGACAGGAAAACCAACGAAGTGGAATAAGTTCGTTCGTACATGCTAGAACTTACCGACATGCTGCTGGTGGGATGTTCCAATGACATCATCAGACGTGGTGCGACACAGCCTTGAGGCAGTGCGGAAGGCGTAGCAGAGATTGCGACGAAACAGCGCACAACGCGTGGAGACTTGTAGTACCGGTCAGTTATCGTAGTCGGTAACTGGCTTGTTCTCCTGACACAGGGCCATCAAAGCGATTTAAGTAGGTAGCACTATGCAGCCTCAAAGTCGGACAACAAAAGGTTGAACTGGACGTCAGCGGGGAACAAGTCCAATCGCAATGCGAGTGATGGCAGCCTCCACCATGTATGTTGACTCCCAAACCACCTACTGGTGAAATGCAGAGCATACCTATGGCGGCTTTGGAATGACATTCACCGGTAAGAAAGCATACTGACTGGCTTGAGTCGTTTGGGACGCTTAGCCCTGTATGTAAGTAAGATTGTGCCACCGCGACAGCACATCCATATCCTGACTTGTATCACGATCGACTTGAAACCTCAAGCCTATGCGCCTAGACGATTTGACGAGCGCGTATGCAAAGCCGTCTCGGAGTTTCAAAGTCTGACCGGTACAAGGGTGGCATGCACCTTGCAGCATCCTGTCTCTTTTAATTACCACTGATTACCGGCCAGATGAGAAGGCTGTGTATCGCTGATAGGCGCCGGACGACATCTAGTCTGACACTCGTAATTGCCGTATGCAGCCGGCCAACGATCGTCAACGCCCCCGTCCAGTGGAACGTGCATAGTGTTCGCACGATAGGAACGCATCATGGGGCAATGCAATGCATGTTTTCCGTCACGGTGCGAATGAGGACCACCTCAGTAATCTCGTCGTGATTTGTCGGTGTTGAGCCTCAATTCAGCTCGATCAGTGCCCGACCGTCATCACCGCAGTTTCGACCACTTATGGAATGCCTCTCGTCAGAACGTGAGGCCCTGTGTTTTGTTGGATTCCACCAAGAAGAGGACCTGACGAGGATATAGTCATCGCGGTGTATATGCGAAGACGACGTCGTCTCGCAGGTTTTCCACATTGTATGTATTCCATTGTCATAGATCGACCGGGCTTGGCGATACGCAAACTCGAACGGAGAGTGGAGAGATAGTGAGGCTCAGATTATCTCCGTATCGATTCGTCTCGGACGCGCAGGCCTCTGTTCGCGGTGCTGGTATTGGTTGCGCAACCGGTTGATACAGGCGCTTTCAGTCATCACACCCTCGTCCGGATAATCAAAGATGCAGTCAACGGCCGCTGAGTCTTGACCGGAAACCTAAGTGGCGCGATACTGCAATGCAAAGACGGCACAGAGACAAGTTGCCGGAAGCTCTGGTTGCGGGTTGTTGGTGGTAGCTGAAGACGCGCGCGGGGTGCGTGCAACCAGCTCGGCCCGGGAGCTGTCGCCCCACAAATTCCGCAATCGGGGCACCGTAGGGCTACTCGTTCGACGCACGGCACGAGGAACGATGGGATGATACGATGAGAGCGCTCGCTCTGAAGAGAGCCTGATTACGTGCATTCGTTACGAGATTGTTGGTATCAATGCTATGTGTACGCTACTGACTGTACGGCTCCGCCGTTTGCAGAGAGATCTCGAAAAGAAAAACAGCCATCTAATATGCATGTGCCCTCGACATTCCGTGCATACAGTAAGCGCATCGATGCGTCTCTACTGCTTATCATTTTGCGAGTAGATGAAGTTGGCAGCAACAGGCACGAGGCCATTGTGCTCAGCCCACTCTCGCACACCACCACCCTCCTTTCCAGTACCCCAATGCTGGCGATCCTCTGGCTTACTCACATGAAGCGGCTCGGTTGTTCCGTTCTTTGGCGCAAAGACGAGAAACACGTAGCGATGCTTGCCCGTCTTTGGTGGTGGGCCAGGAGGCTTGTACTCCATCACGTCTTCCGGACCGCCGTCTGTCGACTCGGTCTCTTCTGTAAGACCAAACTCTGGTAAGGGTAGGATCGAGAACGTGTCCGGCGCGGTGGTGACGTTTGAAGCTATCCAATGACACATCTCACTCCATGCTGGATTTTCACGAGATGGCGCGTCGGGGTCGGTGAGTGTGACGACGTAGCTCATGTCGGAGGTGCTGTGCATTCCGTCCGGACTTGTGTCATCATGCAGAACTATGGTAGGCTGTTCTCCAAGATAGTCTGGCTCGATGGTGTTGCCGAGTTTGGCTTTGGCATCTGACCAAAGAACGGACACTGTGAGACTAGGCAGGAAGTCATGAATGACGGTGGGAATTATCTCAGCGTGTTGAAGTCTAATGAATTTTAGTACGATGCTTATAGTTTTGATGAAATTCCTTACTTTGTTCGAACAGCCTGGACGTTCTTAGGGCCGTTGAGTATCAATGGCCTTTGCTCAGTTGGTAGCGCAACGGCGCAAAGCGGCAGCAGGCACGTCAGCCCAATCGAGACTTGGGAAAACATTGTGCTGGCGAAATAGCGGAAGGTCGATTTGGGGATGGTCTTTCAGTGTCAAAATAGCTTCAAGCCTCGTCGTTGTCGTGTGCAGCAGAGCGTTTGAGATGAACGTCATCGCGTGAGGTAGGCCCTTATGGGGAGGAGTCTCCACCCAACCTGGTCGTGCGTCATTCGTACCTCAACTTATGCAGATCCACAAACGTTCGGGGAAGCTACAACATGATTGGGCAACGTCGATCTTGCAACCCTCGGATAGCGCGAGTCATACAGATGTCATATATTGATTGTATTTCTGCTAGGCTTGTGTAGCTCTACGGGTATTCGGATAGGACGCTCAAGAACAAAAAAAAAGACAGGAAACCGCCAACGTAAGACATGTGCTGCTGAATCAACAACCCTCAAAATGTTCACAAATCTGTGCCTCGCAGAATGCACTGCTGCCCATCACAAAACCCATGTTCTGCGAGACTTGATACTCGGCAAGCTCCTGGGCTCCTCGGCCTGTCATGGTACCTGTGCAGTCGCGAAGCAGAACACAGTCCCATCCGTAAGAGTAGGCATCTGAAACGGTGCCAAAAACACATTGGTCCGTATTGACGCCAGCGAAGAGTAGTGTCTGTTTGCCGGATGCGCGAAGGTACTCGTGAAGAGGCTCCTTCTCAGACCAAAGTCCCGACATGCGCGTCTTGTCGAAGAATAAATCGCCAGGCTGAGCGACTGCCTTGAATGGATCGTAGAGTTCGGCGTTCCAGGTCCGCTTGAACAGGCACCTTCCCTGACCATCGGGCAGCTGTGCGCCAAGTCCGACGTGCCATCCCAGAGTCTTGCTGAAGCCTCGCTGGATAGCAGGTGCCATGTTTTTCAAGTCATGGTCGCTGATTCCCCAGTTCAGCCAGGCAATCTGGATCCCCTCTTTACGGCATCTCTCGATGACTTTCAGAGTCGGCTCGATAGCGGCGATGCCTGCGGCGTGATCCCGATAGAGTGGGTGAACAAAGTAGTTTTGCATATCGACGACAATCAAAACCGAGTTGCCAGGGTCGATCATGAAGCCGGTGTGGTTGCGATCTTCCTCATCGCACTCGAAGACCATCTTCTGCTGGGAGCCCCGAGACAGATCGAATTTCTTGGTTGCGGGTAGGTAAAGCCATTGTTCATCCCCTCCAAACGGGATAGGTGCAGTGCAAGTGATGGTCCCCACTGTAACGTCGTTCTGCTGTTCTTCGGTGGTAGTAAGTGTGTGAGACTCCGGGGCCATGGAGGCGTCGGAGATGATGAGAGCGAGGTAGGCGAGAGCTGAAAGCGGCAGAAACCCAGGATAGATTTAGGGCTGAAAGTTAGTGTGAAGGTGTGAGGATGATTAGGAAGGGGGAGAACAAACGAGAAGAAGGCACGCTACCTTTGTAGTCGGTGTGCGAACGCTCCTGCTGCGTTCCAAGGTTTGTTTGCGGTGAATATGATAACAGTGCTTATCACAATGATAGGCTTCCCTCGGGAGGAAGCTTGGTCGTAAGACAATGAATCAGTCATAGCAGTGTAGACCCTATCAGCTTATGCGGAGACGGACTTCCGCAGGGACTTGGAGGTTACGTGAGCCTTTCCCAGTTAGCAGTAGAGTACGTCGAAGCGACCTGACGATCACAATGCATTCCCCAAGATGCGGAGATAGGAGCTGGAGATCCTCTTTGATAATTTGGTGTTGTCGCGTCTGGCCGCGTCTCGCAGCGAGATAAGGCTGGAGGGCTTGATAGATAGCCGTCGCCTAGTACAAGGGAAATCCCGGGGTCCGACAATACCCGAGCGCGAGCCAGCGTACGCCAGCGTGTCCATGGTACTTTCTCAGCGACCAGAGAGGTAATGCGATACTACGTGGCCGGACTAGGGGAGTGTAATCCACATATCCTCGAGAAATCCTAGGCGACTCGTGCGCCAGCTGTGTTGCGAAGCCAGCCAGTCTTATGTTGTCCATATCCAATGCTGACCGCGGGTCGTGCATCACAGGCACTGCTGATGCTGCTCATGTGGTGGGAAAGTCTTGTCCTGTTACTCATTTGCTCGTGTGCACACTCTACATACGGTTTGCTGCAGCCTGTACACCATGTTCGGCCTTGGAGCCGAGCCGCATGCTGCCTCGCGTGTGGTGGCGTTCGCAGGGCTCGCGACCAGCAGAAGAGGAGGTTTCAGCAGCCGTGTGCTTGCTTTAACAACACGGGTGCGCGTGGCCACATGGCTGAGGGTGTTGCCTCCTTTATGCGAAAGGAATGAACAATATGACCTAAGATTAAGGAGACATGTGAATGTTGAATGTGGGGTGGCTGCCAGGTGGATTGCCATGCTGGCCGTCACGTGCACCATCATCAAACCTTGGAACTTTCAAGCGAAGTGACGACGGAGCTGCAGCAAAGGCACTCCATCACGAGCCTCTGACCCGACGAAGCCGCCATCAGCCACGATCACTTCGCCGATCCCGCATCTGCACCGTGCAACACTATCTCCACGCCGCAGGACGACATCGGGCTCACACACGATTCCGCCGTGTTGTTTGGCTGTTCTACCAACAACCGGACCCTTAAGGAGCAGAGAAACCACACATAACCACCAGCGCAATGGCGTCGCTGGGCGAGGAGCTCCTCAACATTGTCAACAGGCTGCAGGATCTGGTCTTCAACACAATTGGAAATGATTCCCTAGATTTACCCCAGATTGTATGTGCGCCCCAGCCCGAGAAGAGAATGCGGTGAGCGCAGAGCAGATTCTACGCAGCTCTGCCCAACCTATCAGGAATCCTACTAACTGCCTCAGGTCGTCGTGGGATCACAATCATCCGGAAAGTCGTCGGTACTCGAGAACATCGTCGGCAAGGACTTCCTTCCCCGTGGCAGCGGTATCGTCACACGCCGGCCGCTCATCCTCCAGCTCATCAACCTCCCGAGCGAACGCGACGAAGACGACGATGACGAGGTCCACGTACCACACACACCCGCAAGTGTAGCCGGGCAGCAAGAATGGGGAGAGTTCCTCCACATCCCGGGCCAGCGCTTCTACGACTTTGCCGACGTCAAACGCGAGATCGAGAACGAGACCTCGAGGATAGCAGGAAACAACAAAGGCATCAACAGGCAGCCCATCAACCTGAAGATTTACTCCCCGCACGTCCTCAGCTTGACGCTCGTCGACTTGCCCGGTCTGACAAAGGTTAGTCAGGCAACTTTTTTCTGCCAGGACCCGGAGCTAACTCCCACAGGTGCCCATTGGCGATCAGCCCTCCGATATCGAGAAGCAGACGCGAAACCTCATCACCGAGTACATTGCGAAGCCCAACAGTGTCATCCTCGCCGTCTCCCCCGCCAACGTCGATCTCGTCAACTCGGAAGCTTTGAAGCTGGCCCGCCATGTCGACCCCATGGGCAAGAGGACCATCGGTGTCCTCACAAAGCTGGATCTTATGGATCACGGTACAAACGCCATGGATATTCTCTCTGGCCGCGTATACCCTCTCAAGCTCGGCTTCATTGGTATCGTCAACCGGTCACAACAAGACATCCAGGGCAACAAGTCGCTCTCTGATGCCCTGCAAGCCGAGCGGGACTTCTTCCGACACCACCCTGCCTACCGGAATATGGCCAACCGATGCGGTACCCAGCTGCTTGCCAAAAGCCTCAACCAGACCCTCATGGCCCACATTCGCGACCGGTTACCAGACATCAAGGCACGCCTCAACACGCTCATGGGTCAGACACAACAAGAGCTCGCGAGCTACGGCGATGTGGCTTTCACTGGGAAGGAGCACCGCGGCTCGCTCATCCTGCAGCTCATGACCCGCTTTGCCTCATCCTTCATCTCATCCATCGACGGTACCTCCACCGAGATTTCTACCAAGGAGTTGTGCGGTGGTGCCCGCATCTACTACATCTTCAACTCCGTCTTCGGTAACTCGCTCGAGCAGGTGGACCCAACCCAGAACCTCTCTGTGTTGGACATCCGGACGGCTATCCGTAACTCGACTGGTCCAAGGCCTAGTCTGTTCGTACCCGAGCTGGCTTTTGACCTTCTCGTAAAGCCTCAGATCAAGCTTTTGGAGATACCCAGTCAGCGTTGCGTGGAGCTTGTATACGAGGAACTCATCAAGATCTGCCACACTTGCGGCTCTACTGAATTGACGAGGTACCCCAGGCTACAAGGAAAGCTCATTGAGGTCGTCTCTGACCTTCTTCGAGAGCAACTTGGCCCTTGCTCAGGTTACGTCGCTTCTCTCATCGATATCCAAAGAGCATACATCAACACAAACCACCCCAACTTCCTTGGCGCTGCTGCCGCCATGTCATCTGTTATCAACGACAAGGAGCAGCGAGAAAAGAAGATTGCCATGGAGGCCGAGAAGAAGAGGCGGGAACAGAGGAGGATGAAGGAACTCCAGAACGGTGCTAATGGCGAAGAAGCCGAAGAGGGCGAAGGCGGCGAGGGTGGAACTCTCAAAGCTCTCCCTCTTCGGAAACACCAGTCACAAACCAGCCGCAGCATGTCGCCTGCCGTCGGGCGGATGATGAACGGCTCGCAGAGCACCACGGCCGCGCTCAACAATCGCAACCGGTCACCTCCTGGTACTGCACGCGACAGCTTCCTGAACTACTTCTTCAGCAAAGATAGCAACAACGCATACGCCAACCCACAACAAGCAGCACAAGCAGCGCTTGACAACAGGCCTGGCAGCCGCCACGTCAGCCAAAACAGCGAGCCCAGCTTTGCGCAGAGCATCCGGAGAGGCGACAACAAGCAGCCTGCTCATGTATTGGCCATGATGCCACCAGACACCGATGACTATGACGCGCCATTGAGCGCTGCCATGAGTGCCCCTCCCCGAAGTCCAAGTATGGGAGGAGACAACTTCGAAGGCGGCTTTGTAAGTTTCTCCAACACATGTTGCCATGACTGTATGCTAATGTCCAACAGCCATCAAACCCCGAGCAAGCACCTGCGCTTACGGAACGCGAGGCCCTTGAGACCGAGCTCATCCGCCGCCTCATCTCATCGTACTTCAACATCGTCCGGGAAACCGTCGCCGACCAGGTCCCCAAGGCGATTATGCATCTTCTCGTCAACCACTCCAAGGACGTGGTACAAAATAGGCTCGTGTCAACGCTGTACAAGGAGGATCTCTTCCAGGAGCTCCTGTACGAGGACGACACAATCAAGGCCGAGCGCGAGAAGTGCGAGAAGCTGCTCAAGACATACAAGGAGGCAGCCAAGATTGTGGGCGAGGTATTGTAAGAGATAGGTGTTTGGATAATGAAACGAATCGTCACGGGTTCCTTGTAGGTTTTGAAAATGTGCGATTATACGACCTTGGCCCTTCTTCCGACTGGCGTCGTAGGATGGTCGTGGCAAACGGTCGGGCTGGGGCCAAGGTTGACAAAGCGTTATGGAGGCTGGCCGCCATCTGTTAATATTGTCCTTGGCCGCTCCTTTGCGCTTTTCATTTCTACTCTTCTGTTGCCCTGCTGTTTTCTAAGGGTTGCAGGGCGTTTTCCGCGGCTCCGCTTTTCATCTTTTCTGCGCGTTTTGATGTCCTGTGTAGCATAGTACCTGCCCATGGCGGGTCGGGGGTGGAGATGATACATGTATAGAATATATCATTGGCAACAATCATGGTTTTTGAGATGCAGGCAATGTCTGGAGTGTGGGAATCAGTGATAATCATGACTTCTGTAGCTCAAGGTGTATCATCACCAATGCTGGCTTCGGTGCAAACTGGTTTTCCAGGAATTTCGTGCCTGTTCTACGTCTACACGTGGATTGCAGCAACCCCGCTGATGGCGTATTTTCCGAATTAGTCCCAGTCTTTGCATGATCATGCAGACCAGCTTTATTGTACGCCAAGTTTCGGAGAGGTTGTACAGGATTCAGATGTGAACGAGCATTGAAGGATCGAACTGAAGCATGTATATTGAAAACGTGACCAACTCGACGTCTATGTTGTACAAAAGGTACATAGTACAAGAGATTGGTATCTCGTAGATGTCGTACCACTATTGACTGCTCTCCCCACCTAGCCGCTTCTCGGCTCGATGGGATCCGGCCGCATTATGCCCATGCTGACGTAGGAAACGGAATCACTCTGGGTGTGCGCTTATTTGTCGGTTATGCCGAGGAGTGTGTTGAGGTCGGCGTTGGGGTCTTTCGGGTCTGCGATGGCTGTTTGGTTGTCAGTATATGTTCTGCCGTATCATACACATGGCCAAGTTGGGAATTTTGACATGT